TCAGTCTGGTTGTGTGAATGTCTTCCCCTTAGCTGAACAAACCAGTACGTATCTACTAGTCTTGCCTACCATAAAGGTGCCGCCAGTGCAATTGATTACTCAATATGGTTAAATATGTAAGAACCCTGCAGGATTGTGACAAATGTATTGATGGTCTCAGAGCATTCCTGTCAGGGACTCCTGGACACAATTCATCCTGTCCATCTGAAATGACGACTTAAGAGCTGGAAAGCACTGTGGGTGAATCAGGTCTTTGAAGTTCAGCTGGGAGAGTTGGAAAAACATGGGGCTGGCCCTCAAGGACATTCTTACGTTGGTGCATAACCAATATACCTATGCAAAGGAAGAAGCTAAACTACAACACAAAAGCATTTTGCATCTGGAGGACATGTTCTTAAAGCAACAAAACTTCTTTGTTATGAATGTAACATATGTGGTAGTCTCCTTCTGTTTGGCAGGAGATAAGAAAAACAGAAGCAAGGCAAAATGAAAACAAAATTAAGTATATAGACATCATGAAACAATTACAGTGCTGTGTCTCATTAGTACCTAAATTTGGGATTGCCAATCTTGTTTTTAAAACAGTTTCATTCAAGACTCAGTGACAGAAGTTAAAAGCTGATATATCTTGCTGTATTGTGGGCCATGGTCACAGCTGGTGTAAATCAGTATAAACTAATGAAGTCAATGGAGCTTCTCTGATTTACACTAGCTGAGGTTATGGCTCAATAAGGTTAGACTTGCTTTCTAGGAGTGTTCAAGGAAGCCAACTTCTGTGTGTCCTGTGATGAAGTGGTTATTTATAATGGCCTTCAGTGTGGTTTGGAGCCAAATTTCCACATCAAAAGTAGCTTTTTAAGAGATATCCTTACAGCGAGGCTCAGTGCAAAATCATGACTTCAGAAGCCAGCTTTCCTCATGCTCTCAAGTATTTGATTTCAGCCTGAAAACCATTTGAGAAGCCAAGAAAAGCAGAGCCATTCCTTCCTGCCCAGCTCTGCTTCATCTTTGAGTTGCCTGCATAACCAACAGGCCCCAACCTACACTGCCCATTTATCAAAGCAAGTTACTCTAAGTGTCTGTTTATTTATGTTCAGAAATTCCCAGTAAGACAGACAAGTTTCATGCTTAACCTGAAAAATTTAGGATGGAGGTGGAGTTCTTACCAGTTCCATAGCTATTTGTTTGACTTGGCAACTAGTAAAAATAAAACACAATAACATGTCGCAGAGTCACAGCAAGAGGTGAAGGTCAAAAGAAAACAAATCTTGTCTTTCACAGGTCTTTATCTTCAGTGCACTGAATTATGACTCCTATTATTTACTTACTGGATTCACCACCCTGTGTGCAGACTCCAAGCATTCAAAAAGCAGCAGGTCTCTGCTTCAAAGAACTAACAGGCTAAGCGAGAGAGTAAAATCTGTCCCAAAGCTAACTAACCTTCTCCTCCACTTTTTATCTGGAAGGTCAGATGGCCTCATAACGCTCAGCTGACTTCTGCCACCTTCTGCTCACCAGACTGCCATGCCTGACTCTCATGACAGATAAGTTCCTGATGCAACCAGACCTGTTCTCTGGGCACAAATTGCCCACATGTTGCAGCATAATTCTTTCCTAGGAGGGCACTGCTCTCTGCATGTCCAGCCTTGATGTGCTCTGTCAGATGTACAGAAAGCATCACAGGTTCTTTCACTGACTGTCACTTGGTCACAAACCATCTTCCTTAGAACTTCTTGCTAGAAAAGGGTCTCTCGACTCCAGTTGCTGAGATCCCAAACCAGGGCTGAAGCCTTTTGAAAACTCCTGAGTGGTTTCTACACATCCTCTACAGAGTGCCATGATCTTCTACAATCTTTTCAGTGGGCTTAATTCTCTCTGGGTTCACAGGGCCAAAGAGATAACTTTGTGGGGATGCTTCCAAAAAGGGGATCTTCTAAACTGACAGCACCACATGTAGGCTGAATATTAAACATCAGTACGTAAAAACCTGCCTCACATCTCAGCCTCTTGGTAGGTACCACTTTCTCCTAAAAAGTACAAGATCCTCCTCTTTCATACTCAGGTTTTGCTTTTGGTGTCTTCTCTCTCCACAAAAGATCTGGTAAATATTCTCTCATTAAGAGCTGTAATCTACTTTTTCAAAGAATGTTTCTGGTCTACATCAGAGGTGACTAGTGAACCTCATTCAACTACTGTTCAGTGACCAGCCTCTCAAATGGGTTGTTTTTTTCCTAGGCACCCAACATACCCATTGAGTGTTGTCTTTCCAGGTACATAAATATCACTTACTGTTCCTCCCTTACTAGATTTTTTTCTATGTAGATATTTTATCTTGATATCTATGGCTTAATATGGAGCCAAGTAAAGTGAGAAAATAATTTCACAGTCAAGACACTGTGTTTGTTATTTGACATATGGACAGGCAGATATGCTAAAGCATTATAAATACAAAATACACCTTCTGTTCTTCCATACTTCTATGCCTTGATCTGAGCACTGTGGCTAATCGTTCCTAAGAGTTTGTTGGGTTCACTTGTTACTTTAGAGGCAAACACTGTATTTTTCTACTTAACATATTTCAAAGACTCTTTATTTTCTTCTGTTACATTGCTTATATTCTCCTCAGAAACATCTTCGCAAACTGCAGAAAGGTCTACCATAACCACCTGTTTTGTGTGCCTTGTTTTCTTTTCAGCTTCTCCAGGTGAAGGAACTGTGAGGTAGATTTTTTTTCTTAGGCCAGTCATTGTTCAACTTTCAAATGGTCAAATACACTCAGTATCTCTGCTTTCTAACCCGAAACCAAAACCAAACAGAATTCCTGCCTTTTTCAAATAATTTCCAGAAGTAGTTTTGTTTGATTGTCTCAAAATAAAGGGAAATTCTCTTCACTGTGAAATATTTTAAAAAGAGAAGTCTACTAGGCCAGTTAATTTCATTTCTGTTAATGCCAACTCACAGCTTTTCAGTATCTGGCTTTAATTTTGGTTTTTTAATGCATGCCTGCTTTTACTAGCATTGAACTGGAAGGCAGTCAGACAATTCTCAGATAACAAGCAGAAAAAAATAATGTAAACCCGTTATCCCAGATGAACTAGAAATAGTTAATTATGCACAAGTAACAAAACCAGTTTCCTCACCATCAGAATTCATCCTGGACCACAGAGTTACAGAACTTTCCTTGAATCTGGTTGGGGCAACGACAGGAAACTGCATTTTCTAAACATTAGAAATAGATCTTAAACTTGTAAACATAAGATATTATGCCCCTATCTTTTAAGTAACATTTATATTATCTAAAATAAACAGTCTTTCTGAAGTTAGTCAGTAATTGACATCTGACACAGTCCACATTGCAACAGATACGATAAGTGCAGTAAACAGCAGAAATTATGCTTCTCTGTGCTCTGAGAAACATTCATATTTCCTTACACAGATAAACTCTATGTTGTTGCTATGCAACCCTCACACAACACACTACATTGTGCAGTAAATAAGAGTACAAATTTTACAACTGAAGGGCAAGCATGTGGCCTTTTGGGTTTTCTCCCCGTTTTGAGTTCCAGCCCCAGCTTTAGTTCACATTGAAATATTCCATCATTTTATTGCAAAACTGCCTTTAAAATTCAATAAGGGATATTTCAAACAGAGCAAAAATGGAGAGTCAGAATCCATGAGTCCTCCTGACACTGATGGGAAACAAATGGTGGAGCCAGTGATGTCAGTGACAGCAGAACGGTGAAATCAGGGCTGGTTTTTTTTAAATTCTCCTTAAAAATGAGCATTACATTTCCAAAACAAGATTTTCAAAACGTTTCTGCAGTGGCCTGTGCCTGCTCCCAGTACCATTGCTATATCTGCAATAGAAGTGAGGCAGATGAAGCATCACCCTCAGTTTTATCCAAGACAAGATTAGCAGAACCTTACCTCCCTCCTCTGCCTGCTCACTGTAGGAAAGGTCACTTCACAGTATGTTCTTCACAGCTGCTAAATTTCTCCTGAATTCAGTAGATATTTGGATTGTTCAGAGAATAGAAGAGCAGATCCTGTATGTCTCTGTATCCTCATCATATAAGCAGAGTGAATAACACAAAGATTTATCTGTCTGAAGGGTGCTCACAGAAACTGAATAGAGCCACTAGGATCTTGTCAAGTCATGGGTTACTACCTAATTTTTCAAGTTTCTCTTTTGCACATGGCTGCAAATCCTACAAACTCTCCCAGGTAGCATCAACCTTCACTTGCCGCTGTCAGCAACAGAATCCAGGTGAAAAAATGTGACTCTAGCTGGGTGCAGTCAGTATAGTTTGGTGAAGGCAACAGGGCTACGAAGATTTGCACCAGCCAAGAATCTGACCAATACCTGATGCACACACACAAAACAGCTGTCTGTTTGTAAAGGGGTTTGTGTCACATAAACAGCAGAATTTCCCCAATTTTGCTTTGCTGTTCAGTTCTTATAACTAAAGAATCCTCTGAGCTTCTACAGCCTCCATGCTACAAGTCCATATGCTTATTAAGGAATAGCACATCGTCACTGGGGAAATGACACCATGTTCATAAGAAAGCAAGATTTAATCTCTACAATCTACCATGCACTTTCTCTAAACAGTAAGCAAGTATCTTTTACATTTTCAATTTCTGCATTTTGATACCTGTTTGCTATCAAAACATTTCTTTTTATAGTTTCATTTTAACAGCTAAGTTACTTCCGGGCATGTAAGTTAATATTAGCATCTGTTGCAAAACACCTCAAAGTTTCTGTCAGTCTTGTATAATGATCCATCTTTAACCACAGCTCCCAGTAGAGAGCACTCAGAAGAATACAGAAACACCTGTAAAATTTGCTTTAAGTACTTTCTTCAACAAATGATCTCCTATAGACCACCCGTTCTCAGTCAGGATGGCAGGATGAGGCCCAACGAATGAAGACAGTTGCTTTTTTTCTAGTAGCACACTCTTTGTACAACAGACACCACATGAGGCAATAGTCTTCAGACCTAAATCTTGGAAAACAATACTTGATGTCTTCGTACCAGTGACCTGCCAATTTCTTCTATTCTCCGGCATCCTGGAAGATAAGTTACATATCAGTTGAAAGCCTTGCTTTTCTATCCCACTCTAAGCCTTTTCTTCTTCTGTCCCATAGAAATCTACATTCTATCAGCTGAAATCCACTCCTTCATGACTGAGGATTTGTCACTACTTTGCTATGGATTTATTGCTCCCTTTGTGAAAAACATTTTTATGTGCTTTCACTTAATTTACTCAGTTCCCCATCTATAAGACAGAGATAAGAAGTCTTTTACCCATCTCTCCATAGCCTTATTTGTTTATACTGCAAATATTTTCATCTCCCTTCTGCAGGTTACTACAGCATCTTGCCCAGGGTAAATGAAAGCTATGAGGAAATGTGAGACAGAGGCGATTATTACTGAGAGGAAATGTCCTTATCTCACCTGTCAGTGCCATTGCCAGGCGAAACTCCTCCTTCAGCATCTGGAGAACTTCTTTTGCTCCTTCTTCACCCTAGGAGATTAGGAGACAATATGTACTATTATGTGTACGTATAGCTCATGTGCGTAGATAGATACATATACCTGTGCCAACAGAGTGTTATGCACAACCGTAACTCTTGAGTACTTTTCATAGCAAATTTTAGATTAGATGGTCTGGATACACACAGACACCACCATACACACCCCGCTATGTGCACACGTATACAGGTACATGCATGCATACACTAAGCCTAAACAGCAAGTTTAAGTACCTAAAATCAGAAACTTGAACTTTTGCTAACTTACTTGATAAACCAAGCCCCAGATGAGAGGTCTTCCGATGAATACAGCTTTGGCACCGAGAGCTAAGGCTTTGAGAATGTCTGTGCCCTTTCTTACACCGCCGTCTAGGAACACCTCCACCTTCCCCTCCACAGCCTCAACGATTTCAGGCAAGACATCAATCTAAAAAAAGTGAAACCAGGAATACAACTTGTCTGCTTCTGTAACCCTATTTTTTGAATGAACCCTAATGTACAGGATCCAAGCTTTAAAAGATGCTAAATGATCAATTTCATGTCTAAATATGCACAAATAACACAGCTTTGTATTGAAAAACAATAGCATCTCAGTATGTTAGTAGATATATACAAAGATTAAATTTATCTGAAAAACTCTCAAATAGAATGAGAATCAGCAGGGTCACACAAAATGGCCATCTGATCCCACAGCATGTATCTGACACAAGCCAGTATTAGATACTTCGGAAGAATGTAAGAAACAGAGAGCACAGAGGCAGCCTTTCCTTGATACTACCCTCAAAAATTCCAGTGTTCACTCATTTGGGGATGAAATTGAATCACTGTCACTTTTTAAACAATTATCTTCACTTTCTTGTTTAAATGTATTATTCAGTTATACTAAGGGCCAGCTAGTATCCAGGAGCTCTGGCCCAGCCATTTTATCTATAGACATGGAGTAAGAGAAACATGTGCCCCGAGGAACTTAGAATTGGCAGGAAAAAGTCTAATTAATGTACTTTTCCTTTTGAGAATACATCTTGATTACAGGAATAATCATAGAGGAAACTTCTTCATATAAGGAAAAAACAGCTTTCCTCCAAGTTTTGAACAAGATAGGAAATACTTTATTTTAATGCATGTTTACTTTCAACAAACTCTACTTATCCCCTACAACCACAGATAAAGGTAAGTGAGGAAAGGATTTTTACAATTCCCAAGTTATAAGTAAGTAATCAGGAAGTTAAATAATATGTCCACACCATGCAAGAGGACCCAAAAAAGACATGAGCCTCCTGAATTCAAGCCTCAAGCATTAATTTCAGGGTAACTGTTCCTATAGTGCCTAAATATTTCCTATTCATGAAAATCAGGAAAGACACAAAACTGGAAGCCAAGTACTAAGGAGACTGGAAACAGTGTGTGGTAGTAAGACAAAAGGCACACAAATTAATGTCTTTCAAATATGGATGTAATTCGTTTCCTTTCTAATGGATAAAAAATGACTAGGAGATGGGGGGAAAAAACTTGAAAGTGCAGTTTGTTTTTAGATTTGGACTAGAATTTTCTTGAAGTTTGGCACTTGCTGTGATTTTTTTTTTCCCCTTCCCTTGGTTTTGCACTCTTGCCAAACATATTTTGAATCTATTTCCATATACAGAGACCACTTTGTACATCCTGACAAACTGTACCAACATTAAAGTGTTATAATAACTGAAGTATGATGCAAACCAAAATTAAAACATAGATTTCCTCAGTGTGTAACTAGACACTGGAAATATTAACCAGCTTGAGTTCAGCTCACGTTCTGAAAACCCTTGAAATTAAAATAAATTATGTTTCTAAACCAGAAACATTTAATATGATCCAATACAGATATTTACATTACAAAAACTGCATTGTGAAATTTAGTTCTTTGTACAATGAAAAGCAGTGAACACATCAGCTTTAATAATGCCTTCTCCTCTGCACTTTTGTGTTGCAAAGGAGTAAGTTTGCAAGCTTAATTTCTCTTCTACTGCAGCTAGTAACAAAATAGTTCATATTTCTTGAGCTTTCTCATTTCTCAAAATTACTTTTTTAATATCCTCATGCACTCTCTGTTGCATTACCTCACACGCACAGACTTGCCCAAGATTGTCATTCTTAGTGAAATTGGGGAATACATTCTGAAAATGTGACAAGATCAGAGGACAGAAGTTAAAGAAGAAAATTTCATTTCAGAAGTAGTAGGCATTTGCACTCTGAAAATTCAGTACTCCTTAAGGTGTCTAAAACTGAATAGCTATAAACTCTCCAACAGCGCAAAATCACATTCAAAAAAATAAAAATCTTAGTCTCTTTTTGGAAACTAGAGAAGTCCTGATCTGACATCAGAGGACCTTTTCCTACCAGTCCCCAGGAGCACCTGGAGATAGTCAGGCAAGAGCACCTCAGAGAATAATGCCACAACTCAGAGGACTCAAATTCATTAACCATTTAGAAAACCATTTGTGCTGGCATCTCACTCCCCAGTGTGGGGCTTGTCTGGTGAAGAACCAGCCAATACAACCAGGAGATCAATGGGTTCACATGAAGATCTGAGAAAATCAGTGGGTGAAGGACTTTGGCTGGGGAAATCCTCACCTTCCCCCAAGGAGGTAAGCAGAGAGCAGAAGTTTTCCAGGAGAAGGGGGACATAGCAGTGGGACAGCAGAGCCACATAGATAAGACTTCATGTGAAAAACACTGTGCAGTGAAAAAGGGCTTACCTGTTCCCTTCTCCCTGCAGAAAATAATAATGGAAAACAGGAGGTTTTTCATCAAGGACATATTAGGAATACTGAAACAGTCACAACTAGGCTTTGATCTTCCCCCTTTTCATTTTCTTTTTTACTTGTGCAGATTTCTCACACCAAATGAAGCAACTTGAGTGATGACTGGAATTTTGGGGGTTTTCCTTCAGCCTGAACACATGCTACTTCATTTTTCTTTTACTACTTTCTTTTTTTTTTTTGCCTGTTAAGAACTTCTCAAATCTCTTTTCACCTTTGGAAAAGGCACGGGGTAGCACGACAAGGAAAAGGAAAAAGGAAAAAACTGTAATTTAACCACTCTGTACCTTTTCCAAATGTGAAAAAAATGTTTGAAAGGAGAAAAAGGGAGAGTTTCATTCTGCCTTTAACTGTTCGGTAACTCTAACCCTAATTTTTCAGAATTCTCTAAAGAATATTAAAAGGGAAAAATAACTCTAGTAAAATCTTCAGTGAACTGCAAATGGCAACAAGGGGTTTTCAAAAAAGGATGAGAAAGGAGAAATGAGAGACAACTGGAAAACATTTCTTGGAGATTTTCCAATTTCTAAACATTTAAGTGACAATACTACACTATCTGAAATTACTCTTCTAGATTTCCATTCACAGTACTGCAGCCAAGGACAGGGTGCCCAGGCAGCTTGAAGAAACAGCCAAACGTAAACTCTCCTGTGTGTTCTTGTTTACTCTGACCAAGGGGAGGCTGGGTCTAACTCAGTGTGTCATATGACATACATAGGGAAGTGGAGAGAGATTACTGCTCATGCGTTAACACACATATGTACAGCTTTTTCCTCCATCTACCATGTGTTCAGAGAAAGCAGACTAGAGGTCAAAAGGCAGAGAAAACCAGAGACAACAGGTGCAAATTGGCATCAGTACTTACAGTTGGAGGGACACCATCAAGCTGTCGTGCTCCATGATTTGACACCAGGATACCATTTACCCCAATTTTTACAGCTTCTTTAGCATCATCAGCTAGAAAGAAAAAAAATTGACAAACCACTCCCCCCAGAAAACCCCAGACAAACAAAAAACCTAAACAAACAAAAAATCAAAAAACCAAATAAACAAACAAAAAACCCCACAAATAAGTTATGCCTATCCTTAACTGGGAGCTAATTGACACCATTGGCATCACTAACTAAAACCATTACAACCTAATACCAAGCTACCTATAGGGCTTCATCTTTTCAAAGCCTCATCTCAACACAGAAGGAAGTTTTATCATTAAGCAGTAAGACCAGAAAAGTAATTTGAAATGTTGTAGCAGAACATTTTGCTAGTTTAGATTAGCAACCACTTTGGTTGCTAGCCTTTATTTTCTCTACTATGTCCTACAACTCATCACTAAGAAATTTTTTGCTAAATTATTTTCTCCAGGCCAAAATTATAGGCATGATTACAGTAATAATCCATACTTAATGAAACCATTTCACTGTGCTGAGTGCTCTTTAGGCAGAATGGAAATCCAGCTTTTCTTTATGTAGCATACAACTCAGATTAGAGCTAGACTTCATAAGTTCAATCTTTCTGGCCACATTTGATTTCAGAAATAAGTGATGGGACACAAGCCGACCATCTTACCAGTTTAGTGATCAATGACTCTGGTCCCCACCTACTGAACAACAAGGTGAACACACCTTGCAGCATAGCCACACAAACAATTTGACAGCTTCAGGTAACTATTTAAGGAGCTGCTTCTATGAGTGTCTTGGTTGCTGAGCTCCTAACTATGCATGACAAAGAGAATGTAGCTTTTCTCTTTGTTTTTGGCTCTGTTTCGGCAAATCTTCCCTACTTGACACAGCACAGAAATACAAATATGCATCCCACCATATTCCATATCAGCAAAGCAGATGCTTGCCATTAAAAAATAATGCAATTTACTCAATGCTACAGAAATTTCCCCAGTACAAGTACTTTTCCTTCCTTAGGGTCACTGTTAGAAGGGATGCCTTGCCTGAAGCGACAGAGCTACGCACCCCTGAGGATTCCTTTTGCAACGATGGGCAGTGAGGTCAGCCCTCGAAGCCATTTGATGTCCTCCCAGTTGACACTTGCATCAATCGCCTGGGCTACATAGACAGCCAGTCCACTATTTTCTCCAAAGTCTTTTCCTGAGGAGAATGCCAGGTCACTGCTTGAAAAGTTTTTTAATCTAAAATGACAAAAGACATAGAAAAATATTCTGAGAAAGATTCATTGTAGCCACAAATCAGTCCCTAATGCCAGCATTCATTATACCTGTGTTAAACCTTTGCTGTACTGCAGGGCAGGAGCAAAAAAGCCCATCCCAGCATGTCAAATCGCAGTCCTCAGTGAGCCAAAACCTTTGGCTGGCAAAACATTTGGTAATATTGGTGAAAGTTTCTCTGGCCCAAGGCAACTGTCCTAATGCTTTGAAAAGAAACAGGATAAAGTCCAAAAATTGAAAACTGAATTCAAAATCAGGAGGGAAAACCCAGCAGTGAGAGCACTAATGTCAGCTGAAGCCTCTATCTAGCCACAAATGTCCTGTGTGACTTTGGACATGACACTTAGCCACTCCTTTTGCCTCAGTTTCCCACCATGAAATATGAACAACAGTATCTGCCAGGAGCACTGTGAGGATAAATGCATTGGAGGCTGTGGAACATTTAGACCCTTGAGTGGCACAGGCTGGATGTGAGAAGTGAATATCCACCTTGCTTGACATAACCCAGGACCCACTGAAGCCAAGAGGTGCACCTCTACTTACCAGAAAAAAATCCCCTTAACTTTCATGCAGCAAGTTTTTTGTTTGCTGTTTCTGGGGGTTTGTGGATGTAGCTACTGGAGGAATAGGGGATTGGGTAGGTGAGAGAGAAGGAGGAGGGGAAATTTTATTAAGCAACATCAATTGGATGGATCTGCATGAAGCCTTGCAAAGAATTCAGAATTTTCATCTGTCTGACAAGACCAACAGCCAGCCAGCTCACCTTGTGTCTTTTTGTATGTTTCCTTGTAAAATGTAGGGGGTGGAAAAATGAAATTTATACAAAAACATTAGATATTATTTGATCTTTAGCAACAACTCACTCTCACCAGTTCTAGGAACAGAATTATTAGTGACAGTCCCTGCACCAAAGAGTTCACAGCCTTACTAGACAAAGCTGGAGAAGGGGAAAGAAAGACAAATAAAGAAATTAAAGCTGTGCTGAAGCAGTCCTGAGTTCTCACAAGTTCTCACAAGCACTAAGCTGCCACTGGTGACATCACTACTGCCAAGCACACTCATGTCCCTCACAAGGCTGACTGCTCTGTTCTTCGAAAACTGTTTCTCATTCCACATTGAGCTGTTTTATACTCATATCCCCCATTCTGGGAAACTTATGGGGTTTTTTCATGGAAACTGGCTAGTTTCACTGCTGATTTCATTCCCGCAAAAAGCAGCACTTCATATGGCTTTTCTGTTCACCTCCAGGCCCAGAAGAAAATGAGAAGGGAGAGGTCTCTCAGCAAGATCCAGCTTTTCAGCTGTTGGTTTGCAAAGGGTGGGGTACCCAGAGAAAAACAGAACCGTGGATAAGATGATATAAATAAACGTTGTTTTTCTTGGCCTATGAAATGCAGATCAACACTTGAATGAATGTTGCCTTACATACATTTCTGAGCACAATGGCACCTTGTTGTTGCCTTGAAACTTTGTTGAAGTCCTGAAGCCAAGAAAAAGTTATCACATAACTGAGCAGAGCCCCACACTAGGAGAGTTTCACTGCCGACTCTGCAACAAAACGTTGTCCGAGTGCCATTCTGAAATCTGAAGTGAATAACTGGAACCTTTAAAGATTACTCCAACTTCATATTATTTCATACGGTTCACTCAAACAAAACCTTGTTACAGTTTGGTCAGCTGGGCTCAAAATGTTTCAGAAATGCTCTATTGTTTTCCTCAAATATTTTTGGGTTATTTGACTCGCATCCAAAAACTCTTCAACCCCAGGCCTTAAAATGATACTGCCCCTAACAAAAAAGACATTTAAGGATTTTTTTTTTTTCATTCAGGTAAAGTGACAGCCTGTATCGATAATGTTTTGTCAATCACAAATCTATAGCAGGATTACTATATGAGACATATTTTAATGTTAGATTTGTCAGGCATTTATTTTTTTTCTGGTGTTTTTCTCCTAAGGTTGTACTTTAATACAGAAATCATTGGCAGAGTTAAGGTTGCTCTGTCAGTCTTCATCATATCATCTCTTAGCTTTGAGCACAGGTGTATGGGGGAGATCCGACACCTCGAGCTCTAGAGGTTTTTTTTGCCTGCAAGGTGAAAAATCAGACTCATTGCACAGTCCCATGGCTTACCTTCAGTTTGAATATTATGAAATAGCAGACAGACCTCAGGATGTAATTTTCTATTTCTTGCTATGTACATGTTACGTATGATACATACATAGCATAACATAATGGTCTTAGGAGACACAGGAAGAGCATTTCAGATCCATTTGTAAGAGTCAAGACTATCTTTCAGCCAGAACTAAAATCAAAGTTCATCTGCTTCAAAATACATTCAGTTGTTCCTTTTTTACTCTTTCTTTCCATTTTTCTGTTCATTTGTAGGCTCAGAGTAAGGGCAAACAGAGCAGTCTTAATATATGCTGTGGAAGACTGCAGTCACTACCAAGACTTACTTGCAAGATTCTCACAAGTTTTTTAGCTCCATTTTGCAAATCCAAGTCCTGGACATCCCACCCACTAAATACTGTTCCAGATAGTCCTTAGTTGCTAATGCTGTGGTAGAATTTGAGCATATGTTTACCAGGGTGGTCCCTACAGTCTCCTAGTTTAAATTCGCAAAAGGCTAGTGAAACCAGTGCCCTTATAACACTGCCAGATAACTGTTAAATTTAAGTGCTGCACAGGCCCTGAAGTAGACAGGAACTAAAATTTGTGCTGAATTCAATAATGAGGCCACATATTCTTCTGAGATATAGAAAATGTCCCAAAATACATGTGGGGGTGGAAATTGTACTCATGGAGAATTTAGGAAGGCTGATCTCCATGTGTTTCTGTGTTTGACTAAAAGAATTGAAGTTGTTTGAAAAGGGGCTCTGTGGTTAGTAGCCCTGGACCCAGTGCAGTGTCAGAGGGTAACATAGATTAGAAGAGACCATAACATCGGTTGGAAGAGACCTTTTGTCCATTTAGTCCAGGTACCTATTCAGAGCACAGCCAACTCTGCAACTGGATCCAAGTTCAAAGTCAGAGCAGATCGCACAGGGCTGTAGCCACCTGAGTTTTGAAGACGTCTCAGGATATACTGACAAAGAATGTTCTACCTTCATCAGCCTGCAGCCTCATGTTGCCTGGTGCACAGTGTCTTTTATATTCTGCAGACAGCCAAGAAAGCTTAGTTTTGACTGAAAACAGATCATAGCCCAAGCAGAATGAGAGATATATGCTCAGTTCCCTGCTGTTCTCTGTGAGTGTGATGTGTGGCATCTGACAGAAATTCCTTGCACCAGAGACAAATTTCTCCCACAGCACCTCATGGTGACCATAGCACTGCCATGTGCCCACCCCATATCCCACCAGCGGGCACCTACCTGAGGTGGGGAGGAAGCTGGAACTTGTTGCGCACATCATCAATGCGCCTGCCAAGGAACGGCGTGTCCACTGTCACGAAGATCCCTTTGTAGCCTGCTCTCTCTGCACTCTTCACAAGGGATTTGGTTACTTCCCGGTCCTTGTACACATAAAGCTGCAGCCAGTGAAGGCCAGCTGGAGCTGCTTCAGCCACTTCTTCAATGGAAGAGGTGGCCCAGGAGCTCAGCATCATTCCTGTCTCCATTGCCTGGCAGGCTGGAGGAACACAAGATTGTATTTGAGATTATCCAAAACAGAGCCTTCTCTAAACAGGAGCAATTGGCTTAAAAGAGTGTGTTGGTGCAGATAGTTTCACACTGCCTTTCCTCAGTCTTGACACACTTTTAGTCTTCCAGGGAATGCTACACACATAGCAACCACTAACAGCAGCAGGCTGCTGAGAGCGCTCTCTGTCTTATATTCTGTGTTTATACACACATTTCTGGTGTCTGCTGTCTGGATGATTTGGGATGATCCCTGGTCCAATACTGGAAAGAAAAGACATTATAATCAAACTAAGCCTAACCCGTATTGATTCTTTATCTTATGGGGAGCCTGTTTGTAATCCCCCAGCATCTGGCTACTGCTTGTCAGAAGTTTTGGCACATACATTTAAGGACAATCACAAACACGCAGAGTTTTAAATGAACAAAAAAACCCAACCATTTAAGGCTTCCAGCTTTTTGTATGCTGCCACATCACTGCAGATCTGTGTTTCGGGTCTGTCATTCTTAACATCGCTCTTCAGTCCTTCTCACCACTGCCACACATGCCTCCTTGAGCATTTTGATCATGGGATTTTGGCTGCTTTGTCCTGCCCCCAAAATGTTCACTAGCATTAAACCCATATTTCTTGAAGTGTTCTTCTAGTAAATGCCTGTTGCCATCCCTACAGAGTATTTCAGAGCATAATAAAACAGGAGGACACAGTCCAGCAGACGACCTTATTTAAAAGACTCGAAGGAGAAGGCTCCATTGTTCTTTGCTTCAACACCTTTGCCGCCTGTCTCATGGTCTGAAGGAGAGGGACCCCACGCTCATTGTGTGATCCCACACAAAGATTTACAGTTCTGGCAATAAAAAGTAGAAGTTCAGATCTCACCGAGAGTGGAAGAAACACATCCCAGGTGACAGTCCTCACCCAGGAGACCCCAAAAGTAAATACCAAGATGAACAGGTACAACAGACCAAAGTCTCCAAAGTCTCTGCTGAGGCCAAAGGGATGGGTGCTCATACCCTGTGTACTTTGATCCCTCCTCTTTCAGCTTCAAAAGCTGTGGCATGAAATCATTCCCCAAGGTTAAATATCATAGAGCAATCTCAGATGGGATCAAGCAGCCAGAGGCTCTGCTGGCTGCCTCCCCTGGGGCAATTTCCAATCCAGGCAGAACTACAAACCAGCTAGCCTCATACAATTAGAGTTTTATGAATCTATCACTTATTCTTTTTGGAGTAATCTGTCACAATGTAAAATAAAGGAAAACACACTGTAAAACTCAAAAATATTATTTGAAGTCTTATTTTTCTTGGTCTACCAGAGTACATGTATTTTTAATGTAAATGGACCTGTGTTTCAAAATGTCATCTCCAGCCCATCAAGGAATTAAAAAGTGGTTTTTATGACAACATTTTATTAAATAAGGATTACAAGCCTCTCAAAGTGGAAACTTATGAACAGCTTACTCAAACAAATTGGTTACACCCTCCCAGAACCACCAAGCAACTTTCAATCATTAGAAATACAGTAGCAATGCTCCCAAACTTTCTACATTTCATTCCTCCCCTTAAAATTGCTGGAAATAGTTCCCTCTCACAGATTAAGTGCATAGAACTGAGTTTCTTCTGAAGAACCTGTGCATACTTGTGGCAGATGCACCCATCCTGCGAAAGATCTGAGAAAGACCCAACAAAAGCAGCATCCAAGTTTCTGCCCCTGGCAGTGCCAGGCCTGATCCCCCTTCACAGCTCCTGTCTGGTCCACATGGTAGGGGTCAAAGGCAGAAAAGCTGGGGTCCCCACCCAATAGGGGGCTGACATGACCGTATATTGATCACTGATCAGATTCGACTAGGGTAGAAATGGGGCTCTGCTGGAGAGCACATTTGAGTCAGTCCTCCTTCGAGCAACAGGTCTGCAGTCGGGGACTCTCCCCTCTCACCACTTAAGGTAACTTCTCAAGATAGCCCTCCCTTTTAGGTGAGTGATTGTACATTTTGGATCGTTGGGCCTAAAACATAAGAATTCTTAATTCAGCTTTGTCTGATAATATTCCTAGCCAGCACATCAAACCTGTATTTGTTAAATGTCAGTGGAACCTGGTTGTGAATGAGGTTTTGGCTGCTTGATTTCAGTTGCAGATCAAAAGCTTGTTTGAGTTCATTACTTCTGTGTGTAGCCATTTTGGTATGCTTCCATGACAATACTGAATGCCTAAAGTCCTGTTAAAATCAGCTGTGGGGAGTTATCACAAATCCCATAATAAGCAATTTGCTAAATCAAGCCCATTCAGTGATGGTAAGAAACAAGTGATCCGCATTCCTGTTGCTCTGTGAAATGAGAGTTCATGAATTAGAGGGAAGGTTGCTAACCCAGCAATTGCAAAACCCTCAGATCAGATAAGGGAAAAATGTAAATGTTATGGTTCAATCTGCCTTTAGGTTTCCATTTATTTCTATTGTTACTTTTATTTGCAACTCTACCTTCACAGCCCTACAGACACAAGAATAGTGGCAAAGGCAAAAATGAAAACAAAATCTGCATAATAAAGCGTACTTGGTGAATGGAAGATTTAAACCACAACATAATAACATATCCTTTCAACTTACCTGCGTACATGGCAATAGAGGAGATGCTGCTTTCATCTTACTTAGTATTAGATTTAAATAGTTTTGTTCAATCAGAGTTCAACTATCCCAAACTAGGTTTTGGCATTTTCATAAAAGCACACTGACAAAATTCCTCGTCTATCCTCTAGAGTTTACAACTTAGCTCAACACGTGTATTTTGGACCTGCATGGTCAAATTCAAAGTTCACACACACATAATTTTTCAAAATTTTAGAAATTCCAAGTTCTAATTTTAGTCAATCTGTGGTTTATCTTGATCATTTTTAAGTTTATTTTGACAATTTTGTAGACTTACGATACATAGTCCAGAAGTGTTGCCAGGTTCTTTTTTTTTTTTCTACCTCAAATCAGGCTAAAAATATACTCCTACTTCTTGCACATTTAGCTGCAGCTGAAGAAAACAGAAGCAATTATTTCCTCCAACTACAGTTTACACTTCAATTTTGGAGTGCTGCAAATATTATTGTTACAAATCAGTACTGGATCTATCTTCCCATGGGACACTGTTGCGGCAATATGTGACATTTGCCAGAGTTTAAACATCACATTTTTCTTGTAAACCAGCCTTTCCTCATGCCATTTCAGATTGCTTTTAGGCTCCCCCCCCCCCCCCCCATCCCGGGTCTTTTTTTAATCCTAAGCATTGCCCAAAGCATATATTTACCTTTGTACACACTTCAGGCTCCCATTCTGGGGAAGTTTTCAATATCAGAACATTAAAGCTTTGAGTTATTTGTACTCCACCTTGTTTCAGGGCCAAATGCAACTAGAATTGGGATATGATGGAGTGCCTGGGATAACAGAGCTTCACAGCCTTCACTCCATGGCTGCCTTGAGTGAGTTTCTCAGCCCCACCACTACCTGTCTGTACTTACCCCAGAGAAGCCACGAGCAAGGACATATCTTCTCACCAGGAAACATAAACCTTGATAAAATGGGGCTTTCCTCTTTCTTGGGGATTTCAACCGAAGTATTTTACATAGCAACAAATCAAGGTTGACCATGGGACAGGACCTGCTTGGTAAGGCTACAGGAGAACCAAGCGATGTTCTTTTAGCCCTTTTTTTGTCCTGAAACCCCAGAGTCTCCTTCCCACCTCTGATGGAACATTACTCCATTCACTCGTATGGGAAAGGTGCAGAATTTGTCCCTAGAGGAAACATACTTCAGGGGAGGACACTGGACAACAGTCCAGTTTAAACTTGCATATTTTGTCAGGGTTACCTTGTATAGGAATTGGAACTTGCTATTTTCTCTAGCTGTGCAAATTCCCATCATTTTCCTTTTAGCGGCATCTCTGGAACATGGCAGTCAAGCCACCGCATTGTGGTCATTTCTTCCTGAACCCACTGTCCCCAAGTTAGGGGCCAGAGGAGGTTACTTGGGATCAACACAATGTCCTTTTGGCATGGTGGTATTTCTCAAGAGAAGTAGCTGTGTTCTTGAAGCTGCAACTCCTAAGAAACAGAGTTGTTTAAAGTACTTAATGTTACTCTCTTGACGAAACACACTTGGCTGAGAAATCCCCAGCCCAGCCTTACCTCACTCACCCCTTAAAAAACATTGCATGCAAGTTGTGCCTACGATCAGTTTGTTGACACCACACATTTTGTCAGCTGTACAGGAAGGCTGGAGGCAGCAGGGAAAAATATGTTTGGCCAAAATGGATCTGACTGGTCTCCTAAACCAGACCTCCTAGGGCTGTCATGCCAGACTGCCTGTGTACACTTGCACCAGAAAGTCCCCTGGCCATGCTGGTCTCTGACGGGAGTCAGGGCCAGGTCAGTCCAAGCTGTGTTGTCCAAGTGAATATTGTCCTGAATAACAATGTCCTTCAATGACTCTGAAGTAGCCATACCTCAAAATTAACTTTGGTTTTGGTTGTTTGTTTTCATTTTTTTTTGGAACACCACATAGGTAACAGGTGAAAGATGGGTAGAAAGTCCTGTTATTATCACTGTGGCTGAACACAGATTGCAAAATTCCTCCTTCACAGTCATGGGTATGTCTGATAAGCACAAGGAACCTGAATTCAGATGCTCAGGAGCATCAAAGCAAACAAAAAGCATGGAAAAAGTCTGTTAAGAGCTGAAGGAACAAAGGTATTGCTCCCTCTCTAGTGGAAGTGATAGAGCTACCAGTAACTCAACTAAAATGGGGGGGAAAGGGAAGCTTTTCAGTCAATATTCCTATTCTCTGTCTGGCAAAGCAAATGCTGCAGTCACATCACAGGTGACGGTGAAACCCTTCTTGCATCAGCAGTAACTCAGAGTCATTTGAGAGCAATTGCAGAGGGTAAACATAAAATCACCAGATCTGAGCAGCTAACTTTCAAAGTTTTAAAAAGATCTGACCAAGAACACGGTCAGGCTGTTCAGCCTGATTTTCAGCAAGTCAGGTATCGCAACACCTTTTCTGGGCTAAAACACAAGAATATCAGTCAGTAAGAGAGTATCATGTAATTAGCAGCAATATAAACAGAATAGAAATCTCAATAAAATAATGATAAGTATCTGTTTATAATCAATTAAGATTTCACATTGGGGAATCATATCGGTTTGGAAGCACAGCATGAAGTCAGGATGGCAAATGAGTATCTTTGCATGGAAGAACAGTGAATCTTCTGGTGGACAAGCAAAAAAAAAAATGATCATGTAGGATCAGAAGAATTCTGTTGAGAAGAGGTCAGAGAACAGCCCTTTGCTCTTTAATGGTGGCTAAGATTATTCATGAAATTTGGCAAATATTTAGTCAACAAGGTTGAAATTAGAGTGAGAAGGATAAGAAAAATTCACCTAAGTCAAAATGTCATGTGTTGATATTTTGAAAATGGAAATGTTTTCTTCTGAGCTGACACTTTTGTTTCAAAACCAAACTATGGCTAAAAGCATTAGCTACTAGGAAAATGAAATAAAACATTGTGCTTTGGATCAAATTAAACGTTTCATCTAATCCAAAACAATTTTCCTCCCAATTTTTCAGTTTCTACTGAACAGAAAATCCATTATCTGGAGAATTGCCACATACACTGATGAAATACAACTAAAATGCTAGGGAATATACTTGAAGACAGACCTGGAAAAACTAGGACAACTGCCAAGGTTCATGAAATTTTTTCAAGGACAAGAGAGCTTTCTCTAGAAGGAAGGATTCCAGGCTCATTTAAACATGTCAAGAAAACTGAGGAGTAACCTATTACGGCCTATATGGACAGTATTTTTTTTCTTTTTAAAGTCTAGCTAACAGAAATATAAGTAAATCAAACATCTGGATTTGCAGGTGTACAAGTTTTGACCACAATTACAACTTATTCTGCTAAGAGTGGAGTTAGTTAACTTTTGGAATAACTTATAGTGTGTTGGATGGCCTGTCACCAGCCACTTTTAAAATTATAATTGAACATTTTTCCCAAAAACGTTCCTCTACTAATGAAACAGAATTGTCAGTGAAGATGTGTTTAAGGCAAGCTGCTAGACTTTGCTCTGTTTTGGGCAAGACACATACTCCTTTCCACCAGCTCAGTCGTTGCAGAAGTGCAACCCCCAAGGAACAGCAGCTCCTAAAACCCTCACAAGCCCCAAAGCAAGGGATCATGAGGGCAGGGGGTTTTACCTAACAAGGCACACCACGACAGCGACATGCCCTTGTCCCTTTAGAGGACATTTACACTGCAACCTGCAGGCAAACCCTCTGGAAGGACAGAGCAGTTAAACACTGCTACTTCAGGGAAATCCTTGGCAGGATCAGGCAATCCTTCTCAAAATACAAAAAGACACAGGAAGGAGTTGTTATTGCTACCTGCACCACCCTGTTCTGCAAGTAAGGATGGTGCAAACTCATGATTATCTCATGGGGTTGAAACCCAACAAGGCAAATCTATTTCTTGTGGCACCTGCTGAGCAACGCCTGGGCACACACACAGCAATGTGGGTGCAGGTGCTCCTTAGGGCAGATGCCATCCATGCTCCCTGACATGAGCCGCGGTGCACACCACCTGCTTTCCATGGCTGGGAAGGGGCAAGATTCAGACCATGCCATGCTTTTCAAAGCTGTCACAACAATAGAGACACCACCACAAGCATCGCTTACTACACACCTGAGCCAAAGGTCAAATTTACAAAGTGTGCCGGGCTTTGCAAAAGCCACAAGACTATGGATCAGACTCCCTTGGCTTGAGTAAAATGGTGCAGCTGAACCAAAAGCTGATTTAAAACAACCAACAATCTGCTTTCCTATAATGCAGAGGTATTGCAGAGTTCAAAAGAAGTTGGATGTAGAAAAAGCCCCTGATCCTGAATGTCCCAGGTTTAAGGGAACCTTTAAGTCAAACATGTACTTTACAGCTAATCCCTGTCATCTTATAAGGTCAAACCAAAAGTTTGGCACTGAATGCCCCGCTCCACCTCTAATAGAGACCAAAACTGAAGCCATATTTTTTCCTACAAGAAACACTAATGCAATACGGAGGGTGTGATTCTAATTCTCATTTTCTTTGAAAGCAATGAAAAAAATTACCAACTTCCATGGATATGTTTATTTGACCACACATTCAAGCCATTACCAGTGCACCAAGCTCTCCTAGCTTGAAAATCCAAGAACATTAAATGCAATAAGCACATGTTAAAGTTTAAAACTTTAAGTGTGCAAAAGTCAGGAAATTCCAAAATTAAGTTATCTACCACAATCATAACCTAGCCCTGGTCATCAGCCTTATTGTACCACCTGACTCTGCATGTTATTAGAGATTTATGCCTTAAAACATGGCCAGGCCATAACTTTGGTGGTAATTTTTGTTAAGGAACATCCTGAATTTAGTGTGTTTTGAATCTTTCCCTCAACATTGCATTAATATGTTTGCACTTAAGAGTATAAGGCTCCAGAGTTTCCTCTCAGCATAACCTGGGCCAGAAATAACCCATGAGAGTTGCCAAAGGACATGACAGCACCAAGGCATCCCACTGGACACTACTTTACAAACCAATTCAAGGTATTTGAGCTCCATCGTGTGGAATGCGCCTGTAGATACAACAGGCATAAAATCTGGCTTCCTAATAAATCTCTTGGGAAGGCAAAAAATGTATCCTCAAACATACTATAAAGTCAGAGAAAGCTGCTTTCGCAGAGGCTTCTGCTGCAGTTGTACTGCAGCCCGTCACGGCACACATCGCAGTGATGCGGCTTTTTAGTGAGACTTGAGCCCTGAGCCCTGTTCCCACTGCAGGGCAGATAATTAGACTCACTTCACACTAACGTTTGCCGCGTTGGTCATGGAAATGCTGTTAGATGAAGCTCAACATGTACAGGATTATTATTTTTTTAAATATTGCCTATTTCATGTCCTTTTTCATTCAGTGCTAGAGCACAGAAACACACAGCTCAACACTGTATGGAACCAACATACTGTGTGACTTCTTTTTCAGATTTTGTGTCATTGAGCAGCTCAGTTTAAAGGAGCAAGAAACCACTGTGTTCTGGTTAACGTCCCATTTCTCACAGCCTTTTAGTCTGCAGCCTCTGTACTGTCTTTGTGCAGCATCTAGCCCAGAGAGGCCCTTACCTCACTGGCTCCCAGGGATGCACTCAAAGAGCTCTCTTCCCAGACAAGCAAAGGCTCCTGAATTTCTAGAAACAGTTCTGTAACGTCAAGAATGTTGCCATGACAATACATATAGTTGTATTTATAGAATGTATATAAAGGTATATACAGACAACATTTTCATTTTTTTATTTCTTGCAAATTATTTCCCTATTACCTATTCCATTTCTCATTCCCGTTTCAGAGTGAGGGAGAACCCACACACAAAACAGGCAAAGGAAAACGGTAAAAAACAAACAAAAAATAAAACAGATTATTCTGAGCAGCAACTCAAATCCATCTGGGATGCATCCTCAGGAGCAAGAAACCAAGCCAGACTTCCCAACCAGCAGGCACAATATTACTCTGTTCCTCTCTAACTCTCTGTGGGGGGAACTTTGCACAGTTTACCTTTAGCAGTAGCTGTCTCTCCATGAGGATGAGCCATGCACTGCATAGCGGTCGCTCCAACACAGATGGGCATGCTGATTTTCTGCCCTAAGACTGAGGTTGACAGGTCCATTACTGACACATCCCTGAGCACCCGGGGGTACAGCTTCCATCTGACAAAGAAGACAAAGAAAGAGAATAAAAAGCCTGCATCATCAGGGTTATTTACAGTTTCTAATGGCCAGAAGCAGATTTTCCTGCTGTCAAGAGAAACACGGTGAAAGCTCTGTTGGGGCTGGTGCAGAACTTCATTGCGTGATCCGGAGCTGCAGCAGGACCCGTGAAACACACAAAGCAAGAAGAGACTGAGGTGCACGGAAGGCAAAAGAGACAAAGAGCCTTTGAACATTATTTGCTGGTATCATTTGAAAGAAAAGACAGGAGCTGCAAAATAATAAGGTTCATGGTGAGTTTCAGCCTCCCCAAAAGCCTTGGGACAGAACTGGATGACAGAGGGTGCTTAGAAACAGGAGTTATCAGCCCCCCTCAGATATTCCTCCAATGGACTAGAGAGTCAAAAGACACAGGATTTTTGGATGAAACTAGCCTGGCCAGTGTGCTTAGCCCTCCCCATCCCTGTGTTATGGGTCTCTGCAGTTAGGCTACACAGAAACAAGCTGCCATGCTTCTACCCATGGCAAGCGGGTGGGCAGGATGGCTGCCCTGGCCTTCCTTAGCTCTGGGAAGGTGGAAATACACTGCACTGCATATCTGCAGGCTCTAAGACTGAGCAGCTGTACTTGGAGAGGTCCCCTCCCTGGCAGTCACCAGCCGCTCTGCAACACATAGTCCCAGGGAGTACAGCTGCAGCCCTGGGGACAGTCTATCATATGGCAGGGACTCCAGACTTTCAAGAAAAGACCAAATGCGGACACTCTAATTTGATGCCAGGAAGAGGTTGAGTAGCACAACTGCTTTATCAACAGGGTAAATTACAATCTAGTCCTTAAATGATGTGGCCCAGAATCTTCTCAACTGTTCACAACCTTCCTTTGCCTTCAGTGTGTCCACCAGAAACCACATCAGCCCAGAGCTGGGGCTTTATTCTCCAGTGGAGTTTTCCGCCCAGGTGCAAAAGGAAGGTGACTCCAAAACAGAGCAAACTAAAACATACTTAATCGCTCCCTGCCGCCAACACCATCACAAGAGGATCATGATCCCTCTCATGGGGTCAACTAGACAACACTGCAAGATCCGAATCTTTATTAATAGGGTTGCATTCCTGACACTACCTATGAATTTGGACTTTTTCTAACCATACAGGGACTGTTGCAGTGCAGTCACTGTTCCCAGAAGCCACAAGAGGGTGTGCATTAGCAGGGGATGGCTCTCCACACGGGTGTGCACTGAGCAAGGCCAAAGGCTCTCTGCAAGTGTTAGTAGGATACACCCCAACCTATCACTAAGGCATCCTCTGAAAGGACTGATCACTATTGAATTTTAATTACAGAGAATTATTAAAAGCTTAAGCTCTAGTACTACGGAACCTGACTACCTGCTTAGCACTAGAAAACCTGAGACTGATATTATTATTATAACTAGCAAGGAGATAGCAACCACACCATACTCTGAGAGCGAGTAGTGGCCAGCGTGAGCTTGCATGTTAAGCTGTTAAGCATGTTAAGCAAGTTAAAAAAAGACAAGACACAATCTCTTCATTTTGTAGAAAGATCAAGAGACATTTCCATGAGAAGCCTGAGACAGAGTCAGGAGAGAACCCAAACTTCTGAAGCCCTAGAGCAGTGGGTTGTGCCAGCTCTCCAGGAAGTACTCTCCAGGGTGAAGAAAGATGGTTATGATGCTTGGAAGGAGACCTGTAATTGTGGGAGTCAGTTGTATTATTCAATGCCAAAATACACACTGCAAGTATGTCTCCTTAGCCTTGTTTTCAGGCTATTGTATCAGTTTGTTATTTTTCAGGGGAGGATGGACTGAGGGTAGGACGAAGCAAACATTACTTTTTTCTCCTCTTTTCTTCATAATCCTCATTCTGAAGCTCTAGCTCTGAGATGTCTTTTCCCAGCAAATATAAAGAAAACAAAAATCCTTTCATAAACTTGCTCATTTTTACAGTCAAACTCAAAAGCGTAAGGATGTGAAGTATCTCCACCTTCCCCAGCCTCCTAGTTTCTCTGCTGTCCCAGACCTGTCAGATTTTTACCTGGTGCAAACCACTGCCATCTCAAAACTCCTCTGTGAGGGTCAGTCCTGACCTACCAACTGTAATGCTTTTAGCTGGGAAAAGAAATAGAAAGAGCAAAAAATCTTCCCAACAGTGTATGCAAGAAAAATGACCATGTTTCAAACAGTGATAAACAATCTCCATACATGAGCTTTTTGGAGTCCTCAAGCTCACTAACCCCAGACTTTAAATGTAAATGTCTC